TCCATGTATTGTGTCTATGGACCGGAGCCGACTGCGTGCACGGTGCGGCGGTTAGCGTGACGCAGCGCGAAACCAGACTTCATTCGCCCCAACGGAAAGCATATTTGCACTGTCTGAATCGTTCCCTGTCCCCTATATAGTGCACTGCGTGCCATTCACTGTACAGAAAATACAAATCCTGTGACCAATTTGAGCCGCAGCTTCAGCATCTATTTATAGTGCAGGGGGCGGGACGCTTCGGGTTCTAGAGAGCATTTGATTGGACAAAGTTTGATGAGATGATGAAGTGCAGTGTGATGTCATCAAAATCGCTGATCCATATTGGCGGAAGTGAGAGACTGTAAGTTTTGAATTATTATATCAATAATTATATATTTGATATAATTTGCTATTTGTAGCACGCTAGCTTATAGATAATCTTAAGCCTAGCATATTCATACCAAATGCCCAAAAAATTCAATTTTGATTTCATGGGGACTTTAAAAGGTGTCCAAATGTCTAAAATCACTACTGAAAATGCTTTTCTTTTGAATTTTTCAAATAACAATTTGAGAATGTCTCATTTGGTGTTTCTCTTTACCTTTAATGGAGCTCCATGAACAAAACCTGATGATCATTGTAACGTAGTTTGTAGATCGGGAAGAAGGAGGCGGGAACCGGCAAACGTTTAAACAAAACTTTAATAAAATAAACAAACACAAAATAGCGCAACAGCCCCTCGCGGACGACTGTCGCGCACAAACAAAACCAAAACACAAAATAAACTTCAGGCCTGGTTCTCTCTCGTCCGACACTGTCGTCACTCCTCCCTTTTATCCTTACGGAGCTCCTCCGTGAGACTCGAGACCGGTGAGTGGTGCAGGTGTCGCTCATTATCAATTACTCCACCGGCCTTGCTCCGTTCCCACGGCTCTCGGCCCCGCCCCCACTCGTCACAATCATGTTCTCCAGCATGATTTGAGATGATCCAGAGAGCAACAGGAACATCTGACTGTCTGTACAAAGAGTCACACAATCAATGACACTTATGCAGAGCTCACACTGCACGATTTTCAAAGTCATCTGATCACCGTTGTTTTCACACTGCACGACTATCTGGGGTAGCATTCAGTTGCTGCTGTGTTCACATTGCACGGTGGTTCGGCGACAGGAGGTTACACGCTGCATGACTTTACAATAGGAAGATTCGTCGACAACTCTGTCTGGTCCACAAATTATGTTTCACAACCAAAAGCATGCGAGAAGTGATTAGGAAATAATTATCTTCATTGTTCATTGGCACATTCATTACTTATTACAACATACCTTAATATTTCATAATGATTGTAATCATTTTTAATAATAATAATACTTTTAAAGGGGTCATCGGATGTAAAATAAATTTTTACATGTTGTTTGAACATAAATGTGTGTAGGCAGGGTGTGTACACAACCACCCTATAATGATAAAAATCCACCCAGTGGTTTTTTAAAACCCCGATAAATTTAAACCCTTTTCTCATATCAAGCCGATCTCAGATTCTTGGCAGAATGACGTAGTTCTGCACAGGCCCCTCCCACGATTGTTGATTGACAGTGGCGTCAGTCTTTGGTTTTATCACAGACCTTCCCTGAGTGAGCTGTCATCAGTCCGCCATTGTTTTCTAAATGCGATCTATCTAAATGCGTCTGTGTTCACACTAATCATTCGTGATCCAGCTTCACCTACTGAAGAAGTGAGTATAAAGTTTTTTTTTTAATCTTTGCAAATCGCCTTTCCTAATAATGTGCTAGTTAGCAAGTTTCACGATGAATGCAGCTAAAGTTTACCGTCTCTCAGAGAGTGGCTCGGAATAGAGCTCATTAGCATTTAAAGCGACATGCAAGGAAACGGCTTGCTATGAACAGAGCTGTTTTTGACAAGATAAAAACTGTGTTGCTTTACACTACCATTAAGACATTTTAACCAAAGTATATTATAGATATTTCATTAAGACCCTAAAGAATCATATCAACTTGTGGAAAATGGGCATCCGATGACCCCTTTAATACTTTAATAATAATAATATTTTTAATGACATTTTATATTTTTAAAACTTTTATGCACTTAAAATAGGCATGTTTTCCAACTTTTTTCTTTCTCGACCCTGTTGTGTTACAGCTCAGATGTAACATCAAATAGACATGGGTGCTCCTGCCAAGGTTCGACTAAACTTTCCTCCATTTCTTGGGCTCCTTCTTGGTCTATTTGGACCCTTCTCGGAAATGAAGCTGCTGATATTGTGATAGTGATATTTCCTTAATTATTCTGATATAAAGGAAGTATGGTGATTTTTGAAGTCGAGCCTAACAGAAAAGCGCTTGAGGCAATTGAGTGAAATTTTGCAGTTAAAATCACAGACTGCCATGTAAAGAGGTGTTAATTATTGATTCGGTGGGCCGAACAGCTGCTCTAACATATTTGTGAATGTCCCTCTCAACCGGCTGTGACACAATTTGCTTGCATCCTTATTTTACATCCACATTAAATTTCCCCATTGATTGCAATGCAGTAAAATGCCATTAAAGACCGATATGAACGTTACATTGGTCTGCATCCTATTTGCTGAATGAAATCCAATACTTGTTTCTTACTAATTTTGTGGTGCTGATTTCAAAAATAGTGCCTGTTTTGCTCGAGCATGTCACACTTTCTCACAAAATATGATGCATTTGCTTTCTTATTTTGTGGAAAAAACTGTACGTAATGGAAAGTTTTAGCATTATCAGCATTATCAAATTACATAATATTAGGCCTTTTTTGTAAATCAGCATATATATTTTTTAAAGATAAAAAAAAAAAAAAAAAAAAAGAAAAAAAATTTCAGAGTTTTTTTAATTTCACACTGCACGACTATCTGGGGTAGCATTCAGTTGCTGCTGTGTTCACATTGCACGGTGGTTCGGCGACAGGAGGTTACACGCTGCATGACTTTACAATAGGAAGATTCGTCGACAACTCTGTCTGGTCCACAAATTATGTTTCACAACCAAAAGCATGCGAGAAGTGATTAGGAAATAATTATCTTCATTGTTCATTGGCACATTCATTACTTATTACAACATACCTTAATATTTCATAATGATTGTAATCATTTTTAATAATAATAATACTTTTAAAGGGGTCATCGGATGTAAAATAAATTTTTACATGTTGTTTGAACATAAATGTGTGTTGGCAGGGTGTGTACACAACCACCCTATAATGATAAAAATCCACCCAGTGGTTTTTTTAAAACCCAGATAAATTTAAACCCTTTTCTCATATCAAGCCGATCTCAGATTCTTGGCAGAATGACGTAGTTCTGCACAGGCCCCTCCCACGATTGTTGATTGACAGTGGCGTCAGTCTTTGGTTTTATCACAGACCTTCCCTGAGTGAGCTGTCATCAGTCCGCCATTGTTTTCTAAATGCGATCTATCTAAATGCGTCTGTGTTCACACTAATCATTCGTGATCCAGCTTCACCTACTGAAGAAGTGAGTATAAAGTTTTTTTTTTAATCTTTGCAAATCGCCTTTCCTAATAATGTGCTAGTTAGCAAGTTTCACGATGAATGCAGCTAAAGTTTACCGTCTCTCAGAGAGTGGCTCGGAATAGAGCTCATTAGCATTTAAAGCGACATGCAAGGAAACGGCTTGCTATGAACAGAGCTGTTTTTGACAAGATAAAAACTGTGTTGCTTTACACTACCATTAAGACATTTTAACCAAAGTATATTATAGATATTTCATTAAGACCCTAAAGAATCATATCAACTTGTGGAAAATGGGCATCCGATGACCCCTTTAATACTTTAATAATAATAATATTTTTAATGACATTTTATATTTTTAAAACTTTTATGCACTTAAAATAGGCATGTTTTCCAACTTTTTTCTTTCTCGACCCTGTTGTGTTACAGCTCAGATGTAACATCAAATAGACATGGGTGCTCCTGCCAAGGTTCGACTAAACTTTCCTCCATTTCTTGGGCTCCTTCTTGGTCTATTTGGACCCTTCTCGGAAATGAAGCTGCTGATATTGTGATAGTGATATTTCCTTAATTATTCTGATATAAAGGAAGTATGGTGATTTTTGAAGTCGAGCCTAACAGAAAAGCGCTTGAGGCAATTGAGTGAAATTTTGCAGTTAAAATCACAGACTGCCATGTAAAGAGGTGTTAATTATTGATTCGGTGGGCCGAACAGCTGCTCTAACATATTTGTGAATGTCCCTCTCAACCGGCTGTGACACAATTTGCTTGCATCCTTATTTTACATCCACATTAAATTTCCCCATTGATTGCAATGCAGTAAAATGCCATTAAAGACCGATATGAACGTTACATTGGTCTGCATCCTATTTGCTGAATGAAATCCAATACTTGTTTCTTACTAATTTTGTGGTGCTGATTTCAAAAATAGTGCCTGTTTTGCTCGAGCATGTCGCACTTTCTCACAAAATATATTGCATTTTGTAGCATTTTTACTTTCGACAACCATTTGTTAGTTGAAGAAGTCTTAAACTATCCCTTAATCAGCAGAAAAAGACGCTTCCTTAGTTAAATTCTTATTGATTCCTAAATCCACTTTTGCCACTCCTTTGGAGATTGTAAGTTAAACGATACATTCTGAATACTTATTTTCTCTCAAAAATTCAAAACTTTTGACATTTGACTGCTTTTGCTACTTTGAAACGTGAATTAAAGCTGATACATATAATTTGATATTATTTATAATATTTCCTCCTTATTTTGTGAAAAACTATGTGCTGGAACGTGTTATTGATATTTTTGAACTTTGCTTCATTAAATTAGGTGATGATAGAACTTTTTTTACAGATCAGCAGAATTCTTTTCAAGATGTGTTATTTAATGCACTTAATTTATCTGTGTTAGAAATTAAATTGATTTTGTGGAAATGAAATGGATTTTGTGGGAATGAAGTAATTCTGCCCACACTGGGTTTTACTCGTGACTCATCTGTGCTTTGGCCGTGTAGGAAGCACTCTAATCAAAGTGGGCGACTGTCAGAGGAGACTGGGTGGCGCTGAGAGAGAGTTTCTGCAGACCTCATCCATTAGCTTCCTCACACCCCTACACAACTTTCTGGAGGGCGACTGGAGGACCATTTCTGTGAGTTTGACTCTTGTACTAACAGATTTGAGCATGATGCTGATATATTGAAAAATATTGTCCTCCTCGCAGAGAGAGCGGAGACTCCTGGAGAATCGGCGCTTGGATCTCGACGCCTGTAAAGCGCGACTCAAGAAGGCCAAAGCGGCGGAGACCAAAGCGGCTGTAAGATTTATTTCCCCTGTTCTCTCCTCCCTCTCTTCTCTTTTCTCTAGGGATTGGAATCATAAGGGATTTAGCATTTCTGATTTTGGTTCGCATTTAAGTTTTCTTAAAGCAATAGTTCAGCCAAAGTTCAGTGTTTGTAAGAAACAAATCCATCAAAACGTTTTAACTAAACTGTCGGCTCCGGCTAAAATCAATAATCAATAATAATGCTTCATTGAGTGAAAAAGTCTGTCTGCTGTTGTCCTCTCGCATCAAAATCCACCCACAAATTTGTTTAGATTTGTTTTAGACCATTTCCTCTTGTAAACGGTGCTTGATCTGAGCAGATTTCTCTCCTGATTCAGACCAGGTGACTTTTTCACTGGGAGAAAGCAATTGTTAAAACCACTTAAGCTCTGGGCGTTTTTTGGTATTTTCGCCTAAAGTTTTCATACTCAAATTCAAATGTTTGCCCTACACGCATACAATGGAGGAAATGAAAAAAAATGGTTTCATTGTAAAGAAAACCCTTTGAACTACAAAATATGAGTGTAATTCTTTATATCCCTCTCTTCTCTTTTCTCTAGGGATTGGAATCATAAGGGATTTAGCATTTCTGATTTTGGTTCGCATTTAAGTTTTCTTAAAGCAATAGTTCAGCCAAAGTTCAGTGTTTGTAAGAAACAAATCCATCAAAACGTTTTAACTAAACTGTTGCTTCCGGCTAAAATCAATAATCAATAATAATGCTTCATTGAGTGAAAAAGTCTGTCTGCTGTTGTCCTCTCGCATCAAAATCCACCCACAAATTTGTTTAGATTTGTTTTAGACCATTTCCTCTTGTAAACGGTGCTTGATCTGAGCAGATTTCTCTCCTGATTCAGACCAGGTGACTTTTTCACTGGGAGAAAGCAATTGTTAAGCAATATACTGTACGTCTCAATATATTTATTTCTTACAAACACAGCTTTTGGTTTCACAAGACATTAACTGATGGACTGGAGTGGTGTGGATTACTTGTGGATTATTGTGATGTTTTTACCAGCTGTTTGGACTCGCATTCTGATGGCACCCATTCACTGCAGAAGTTTGTTAATCTGGAAAACAATCAAATACTTGAAAGTTGATTGCCTTGAAGACTCCCTTCTTATGTGTATTTTATTTGATTACGATCTTCTGTCCTGCAGAATGCAAACATTTCAAAACTGTTACTCGATTTTGGTATTCTAAAAAAGTTAACTAGTTGTGAATAATAACTGGTTCTCAATTCTCAACCCTCTCATTCCTCTTCCTTATTGTCACGCTTTGATGACATCTCTCGATATGGGTCTCTTCCTCGTGTTTGTTGTGTGTGGTTGTGAATATTGAGTGATTTCTCACCGGTTGATCGAGCACTAACCGTGTGTTTCTGCTTTAACCTTCACAGTGTGAGGGAGAAGTGAGTATCACCGTGTGTTTCCTCTTATGCACGTTATGCTTTTTTCTTTTTTTTTTGCCGCCTTAACTTTAAAAAAAAAATTACAATGAAATAAAGGCCTTTCAGATTTGTTCCTCATTTTTCATGAACTCCACTAAGATCTTCTTTTGAATGATATGATGGAATTACTTGTATCTGAGTAAACCTTTAAAATATAGATTTCCAGAATGCATCGCAACAAGCTTAGAGATTTTTATTTATTTATTTATTTATTTTTTTATGTCTCCCAAAAAGTAGGGGGGCATCTACATTTCCAAATTCCTCATTTATAACGGTTGCTATGCCCT